AATCAATAATAGCAAGGTCATTTTAACGCGGCAAATGGTCAATAGTAATGTCACCTTTAAACTTTGGAATTAACAAAAAAGTGTGGCATGCATTTACTAGGGCAGTTGAAGAATAACTTAAGAAGAAGACTCCACACGGCGGCATTCATACGCTATCGTGACCTCGAACACCTGCGACCAGTAGGCACGCACATCCCCCGTTTGTTTGGCCTACCCAAGGTCCACAAAGACGGCCTGCCATTTCGTCCGATCTTCGACATTCGAAACTCGCTATATCATAAGATAGCAAAGTGTTTGGCAGAGAAACTCAAACCCTTGCAGCAGCAGCTAGCGCCACATAGCTATCAAGATAGATTCCAGTTTATCGAAAGCGTGAAAGACATGAACTTAAACGGCCTGATTATGCTCTCTCTAGACGTCTCATCGCTGTTTACAAACGTACCGGTCACAGAGACAGTAGACTTCATCTGCGAATTCTTAGTGGCCAATCAGATAGAGGTAGGAATACCAACTGCTGCATTAAAGAAACTACTAATAAAATGCACATTAAATGTGCAGTTCCTTTTTGACAATCACCTATTTAAAAAACTAGACGGCGTCATTGTGGGCTCACCTCTCGGACCTCTCTTGGCTTACATCTTCATGGGCAAGCTGGAGAAATCGCAACTCAGCAAACAGATCCATGAGTTAAAACGCTATGGTCGATAGCTCGATGACATCTTCGCAATCGTCCCAGCAGAAACTTTAACAAACTTTAACAGTTTTGTACCCATCCAACAGAAGCGTAATTTGATCCGCAGTTTAACGCAAAGAGCCAGAAAAATCTGCTCGGCAGAGACTATTGAAATAGAGCTCGAGAAACTCCAAGATTTGCTTCGGGAGAACGGGTATCCGGATAGATTGATCATGAATAATACGATGGAGAAAGAACCAAGGCCCACTACACCCACAGTAGAAAAGAAGACCCTATTCGTTAAAATTCCCTTTCAGTGAGACACAGCAAATGAACTTCTGAGCAGACGTCTCAACCAAGCCGTAGCACGAACCTTCCCAGCAGCGAACGTTTGGGTGTTATTCTAAGCAGATCCGGTCCTGCACGGCAAAGGTAAAGATAGGCTGCCAACTCAGACCACCTCCATGTGCATATACTCATTCACTTGTTCCTGTGGAGCAAGTTATATTGGTCACACGAGTCGGCGTTTATCAAACAGAATACGGGAGCACCTCCCGGCATGGCTGGCCAAAGGCAAAGTCAAAAGCATAAATAGCTCTATCCTTGCCCACATGGTTGACTCCGGACAATGTGTGGATCCCAGCGAAGCCTTTAAGGTAATTTACAAGGTCTCGGCAAACTACTCAAAGTCCCTGGGTCAGCTTTTGCTAGCAACAGCAGAAGTTACCGCGATCCGGTTGAGGCAGCCGGTTTTGTGCGCGCAGAAGTACCTCCTGCAAGCCCCGACCTTCGCATGGCCAACGGTTACGTAACTACCTGCATCGTTTCGCGGTTTCTATCGCTTTATCCCCCCATCCCCTTTCCGGACTCAACAAAGCCTCATCAACTTCCAACCAGCTGGTTACTGTCAACCCCACGACCCCTCCCTTATCCCGATGACTAATTTGTGTTTTGTGATAACATAATTACCAGCATGTTACTTTGTACCCTTTCCTTATATAAATGTAGCAGCCCGAAGAGAATTTATCGAAAGCCATGTATGCTCGCCATATACTCTTCTGAATTGTCTGATGGGAATTTTCGTAACTTTAATAACCACTTGGTCTAAATGCTAACATAGGTCGTGTTTCTCCCACCGTATATAGGCGCTTCCATGTTGCGCAAGGTCCGGTTTGTTCGTGCTCGAACAAGAACTCGGAAAGCTCTGTTGATGTTAACGGAGTGACCGCTGTCTAACAAGCGTTTTGTTATGGATGACTGTGGCACCACGTCGACTGCGTTAATCCATGCTCAGAACGTAATACGCCGCTGAAATTGTGTTTCTCACTCCGAATAAAAGTCTCGCAGTTAACCGATCAAAGGAAGCCATGCGTTTGCACGCTACCCCAAATTGCGTTTATGAATTCACGTGCACTTGCGGATGCAAGTACATTAGCCATACGGAAAGGTGATTGGCGATCAGGGCTGTTGAACATTTGCCTGCTACGCTTTTAAAATAATAAAACAAAGTGCCACGGTCATCCATTACAAAACGCTCGTTAGACAGTGATCACTCCGTTGACATCAACAAATATTTCTCGAATATTCGAGTACCTGGCAGTGGAGACTATTCAATTACTCCTACCAGAAGAATACGATGAAACGGAGAATGGCTTCGGTCATACCAAAATCATCCAGCTCTTAAATTACTGTCTCAAGACATACCTTACCTTCGATGGAACTATCTACGAGCAGGTGAAGGGCACGCATATGTGTTCATCCATTGCTTGACTCATAGCAGAGGCGGTCCTGCATGCTCGAATCCTCCATCTTCTTAAGTTCTGTCTCAATACGTACTTTACTTTAAACGGAAGTATCTAAGAGCAGCCCATGTGCACGTCTATGGGTTCGCGCACTTCCAGACTCATAGTAGAGGCGGTCTTGCAATGGTTGGAGACACTCGTTTTCCGACATCACAAACCGAAATTCTGGGTTTGGTATTTGGACGACACTTTCGTCGTAATTGAGTGGAATCAGGTGTGGCCATTCAAGTCTAAACACCGAATTCCCGGACATTCAATTTACGCTTGAGGAAGAAACAAATAACCAGCTGGCCTTCCTGGATGTCCTCGTTTGCAGCAAAGACGGTGGTAGCCTAAAAACTAAAGCGTTCAGGAAAGCAACCAACACTATGCAAGTTCTGAACCTCAAGAACCACCTGATCGGTCACAAACACAGCTGTG